GGCTGCTTCAACAAAGCAGTCAGGCTCAGGTTGCTGTGGTTCGATCCCCACAGCTCAAGCCAGCCAAACCTGCCCTGAAGGCATTCGGAGCCAAAAAATCCTTCTGCCATTTAAAAAAAACTGAAGATATAAATAAATAATAAAATAATTTTGAACGTGGCCAACTTGTCTGCATACCTATTCCTGGGAATAATTCCTATCAACATTATCACTAGCTGAGACAGTGGCTTATCTATACAGGATATGTGAGAAATGATGTCTCTTAGCACAGTAATCCACTAAACAGGTAGATGTGTTAAAATATATTTCAGATTTTCCAGCTATGAAAGATAGGTGCATTTATGTAATTGTTTCTCCATAACAATCCTTTATCCTGTGCTCGCCTTTGTTTGTGTTGACCTAGGGCCTTGCTAGGTTGCACAATGACAAGTTGGCTCTGCGCTTTCTTCCCTTAAGCTTTCTTGATGCATGTTTCCCATCGCCTGACAGAAAAGCCTCTGAGCCTTGGTCTTCCCAGCACCTCATGGCACCCCTCCTGTGCACCTGTTCATAGTCCCCCTCCCCCCTTGCACCCCATCCGTCTGGAGCCAGTGCTGCTGGTACGGGAGCTGAAACAGCTTCTCTGCAGCTGCTGCAGTCCTGACCCAGGACGCCGCCTAGTGTCTGATAATGCAAGTGCTAACTGGAGTGATGTTTTTTAATTTAACATGATCAGTATAGAGGGTGGATTCAAGTCCCTGGCCCTAAAGTACCTTTGTGCCCTTGTAAATTCGGTCAGTTGAAGCTACTTGCATTTGTGTCTTCTCTATACTTTGGACATTTAGTTTGAGAAACCTCTGGCAGTATTTCAGGACTTGTTTAACCCTGAAAAAATGTTTCAAGTTTTGGTTGTTAACAGTGTTCTCTTAAAAAAAATAATAATAAAATTTAAAAATAAAAAAAAATGTTCTCAGCACCTCGCACAGGTAAAAAGTATACAGCAGATGTTCAGTCAGTGCTTGAATAGTAGATCTGAATGCAATTTTTAAAGAATGCAAAGATAATTGCCAAGAAATCAGTATTTCTTATTATAACCCTAACCCTGATTATTGTTTTTCTCCAATTATTTTCTACATCTGATGTTCTAAAGTTTTTATTTTGTTGTGTATTAAGAAAATTAAT